TACACAGTGCATTTCTCATGTTGAGAAAAATCATGAAACAAATACTACACATATATCTATACAATCAAGCAATAGAACTGTACAGATATTAGCTTGGCTTGAACATGCATTGACTTTGAGGTTTCTGGCTCAATCCTATGACTTCATTTTCCTCTCCATGGCCTTTTTTTTCCTTCTTATTCTCTCTGGCTATAAAGTCCCAGTGCTCTAACCACACCCAGACTTCTCCCATTACAGAACAGAGATGGTTGTCTTACACCAAAACACTGGCCCGGGATATAAAGTCTCTTTTAGTCTCCTTGTCTTCTTTCCTTCCCTAATTACCTTCATGTCTCTCCAGTGTCTTTATTTCTCCATTAAAGTTCCTTATTTCTCTTTTTTTTTGTAAAGAAACAAAAAGGAGGGATAACAAGGGAGGTAAGGAAGAAAGGGCAGATAGGAGGAGGAGAGGAAATGAATGACTTGAAAGGAGGCAAGATATTTTGGGTTGGTTGAGAGATGAAATCATCCAGATCTGATTGCAATATGTAAACAGAACCACAACAACTGCCACACGCACATACTTCAGTTTTGAAAAAAAAAAAGCACATTACATTTCCCTTTTATAACGTGCACCATATTATGCAAATGCTGGTAGTTTCACCTTTCACTTTTCCTTTAAGGTTGCGTGGTCACTCAACATTTCCATAACTCTTAAACATGACTCAAGTGTGAACTGAATGGCGTCCCATTGAAGTAAAGGCTGCAGCAGCACAAGGTAAGTTCACAGAGAGAGATACAATGCACTTCTTTTATCATCATCATTATCATTTATCATCAATCATTTAATTATCATTTCTGTTGAGAAATAAATAAAAATCAGTTTAACAAACCATAACATTGTGAAAGAGCCTCTTCTCGTGAGAAAATATAAATAAAAAATTCAATATAAAATAAAAATATGTTTTCATTAATCATTGTGGGACAAAATGGAACTTAAAAAACAAAAAACCCTCCCTAAATATTCAGCTTTCAGAATTATACAGATTTCTAGATTCTATCAAATAAATGAATGCACTAAAGAAAAAAAATGTATTGAGTGGTTGAAACAGGGTTTGAAAATGGGGGCAAGACGATTGATTTTAGGAGCTTTTGAATGGAGAGCAATTTCCCTTCCCCGCTACCTTTCTCCCAGTCCGTTCCACACTTTTATTTTCATCATAAAAAATGATTGGTGAGTCTTTTTCCCAAGCTACAGAGATCAGCTGTTTCTCTTTGCTGCCAACTCCCATCCTCCTACATTCATCCTTTTATGCTCACCAGTGCCTTGGCGTTGGGGTTGGCCTTCTTGTCCACGATGACCTTTGCCACCTTGTAGTGCCCGCAGTGGGCGGCCACGTGCAGCGCCGTCAGGTAGTCGTTGGTCACGTCGTCCACGGGCACCTCGTGGTGCAGCAGCAGCTGGACGCAGTTGAGGTGGTCGCCCTGCGTCGCCATGTGGAGGGGAGACAAACCGTTCTGGAAGGAATACAGAAGGAAAAAGCATTTGTGAGGCGGAGTGAGACACACAGTTGCATAGAAAAAGAGAGTGAGAAAGAATCGAGAGAAAAACAGAAGTAGAGAATGATAGAGGAGAAGACACACAGGTTGAAGGTGTACCTTGGTCTTTGACAGTATTGGAGCTCCTCTGTCCAGCAGCATCTCCACCACCTGCTCATGGCCACTCCTGGCTCCACAGTGGAGAGGAGTCAGACCGTCCTGTGAGAACAAACAGTAAGGTAAATGCACAGTGGCTGTGTTCAGGTTAAAGTTTGGACTTCATACCGTCAACTACAGTGTCTTTAAGCAGCACAATAAAGCCCCTCACAAAATGGAGATAACTCCTCCCTTCCTCGCAGCTGTGGGAGGATTTTGATGATATTTGTGATTTAATTTCATTTTAAGGATTACATGTTTGTATACGGGCTAAGAAAATCCCTAAGCTAAAAAGTGTTGTAAAGTGCATAAACAGAGCTTCTTTAAACACGCTGGAGATAATAATATGGATACTGTATGTGCCTGTGTTGGAAGATAAATGGACAGGGCTTAGGTCTGCCGACTAAAAATGTTACATAAATGTTAACCGTTACCTCGAGCATTTAAATAAAATTCCACACCAGGGACCGCAAAATCCTCTGCTGCTTTGATTTTTTAAAACTATTTTTTATCTTATCTGTCTTGTGCAAGACCCCAGTTTCATGGAAATGCATAACTAAATCGATGGAGTACCTCTTTAAATATTCATTAAGGTTAAAAAAAAAGGACTTTTCTGGGTCAAAATTATGTGTGTGTGTGTGTTACCTTGGTCCGTGCATCTATCTTGGCCCCTCTCTCCAGCAGCAGTCGCACCATGTTGCTATTGCCACGTTTGGATGCTACGTGCAGCGGCGTTATGTCATTCTGGGGAGAAAGAAAAGCATCATTTCATCATTCAGCTGCAGAGACAAGAAGGTTTTGAAATGTACCACTGAGTTTGAGTTGTAGTTATTATAAGAAAACAACAAAGAACATCCTAACTCTGTTCGTTGGTCACATATTGTCACGTAACACATAGATGAAAATTCTTAACAGTGTGCCTACAGTGTGTTACAATTACAAAATTTGAGAATGTATTTCAACTAAAAATGAAGATGTAGAACATAGTTCAGACTCAATTTTACTGACCCAATTACAGACAAGGGCTATATTTCAGAGGAAAACTGATAAATATCTCCCTCTAGAGGAATAGAACCACTCCAGAAATGTCAGCATCACAGTGTTCTGCTTTAACAGTTTTCTTGCTTTCTTGTTCCTGCCTGACAAACCAAAAGTATCTCTGTCTACTGACAGAAGTACATATGGTCTACTACTTATTTTATCATGATATAAAATGCATGACTACCGACTGCTTACTGTAAGTGTTTTTTGGCAGTATGTATTAGATATAATGCCTCCAAAACAAATCATTTGCATTTTTTGTACAGTAAATGTATTTATGTAAATGTACAGTAAAACAAAGTGTCTCTTAATACTTTCCTGCATCCTAATCTTGTCTGACACACTCAGCCCTAGATCCATATTTTCTGTCAACAGGCAACAAATACATTGTTTCTGAACGATGCATTTGCTGGGGACTTTCTACCACCTTCATTGATTACAAGGGGTATCTGACTGAATCCAACTCGGTGGAAAACATTAACTATACTATACAGAAACAGGCAGTCTTCTCACTGATGGTCTTGTATGCGTATGTAGGTCACATAGAGGCATCAGTATTTAACTGAGACTGTTTCATAACCAGCTACAAACTCTTGTAGTATGTTTAAGCTAAATACAGATAGGACGTTTACACTGAAAGGAAAGTTACGTGTTGCTTTGCTTTGTAGGTTTACTGATCTTTCAGTTCAGTTTTGACTCTTTCAGTTTGCCTCTTTTACACAATACGTATGTCTGACTTAATGAATAAAATAACAAATAACAGTATGCATTTAGCCATGTGTCTTTTCTGATATCTGGAATAGTATTGTGCTGTTTATGTCTGTGAGCTGCAATTGAAGTTGCGTAGCAGGAAACAGCAATGTCTGCTTTGTTCCCCTAACAACAGTAACTGCGCTTTGCCTTTGCAGAGGAGTACCATGCATCTTGGAAATGAAATAATGCACAAAAAGTTAAATTCCATTGATACCTCGATTTGAAGTTTCAATATTTTGTGCTCAAACATGAAACTAATTCTAAATGGGGGTGGAGAATTGGGGGAGGGGAATTTAACAACTTTAATGAAAATAATGACATAAATGTTCCTTACAGAACATACACAGTCATGGCAGTTTTCACAAAAATAAAAAATGAAACTTTATGTTCTAAATCCTTCGAATGAGAAGCAGGTCACAATGCAGCAGGGTTTTAAATACCCAGAGTTAAAGCTCTCCGCTCGGACTCAAGCTGCTCCAACATTAAATGCTGTAACTTTAAAATGCACAGTTCACTTACACCACTTAAAATAATCTCTATGTTGTTGTTCCAGTCTCACTGTCACAGTGAAAAGAATCTTTAAACCATCCCTACCTGAAAGGCAAACATGAGCTCTCGTCTGTGGCATGCTGTTAAATGACGCAGACTAGAAAAGCAGTTGTTTACTCTCTTGGAACACGTGAGCCCATATCACAAAAAAAACTGTTGAACTTCCTTCCTCATTTTAAAATATGATGCAACCTGACGTAAACTCTCATAAAAGATTCTGTGTTTTCAAATCAAACAGTTTTTCTGGATGTGTTTTCTTAATATTTCTCATATATAAAGAGGCTTCACATTTCAACCATATTAAACCTCTCTCTCCACTGGAGTCTGTGTGTTTGCATTAGTTTGGATCTTTCTTATAGCAGCTTAAAGGAGCCATACAATGCCTGTCTACTGTTTTATAGTTTGATGTTGGGAGCACACTTATCAAACTTTGCACACTGTAATGTGTAATGAGAAAACACTTCCTGCAGCTCCCTTTCTCTAAAATACAAAGTTTTCTCGGTTTCCTGTCTCTGCCTGCAGCAGTCACGCGCCTGCAGCAGTCACGTGCCTGCCATTCTCCAGCTGGCAACAACTCAGGTTCTTTACTGGAATAAGTTAGACTTTTTTTACTCATTAGGGGTTAAACACGCAGATGTTTTATCTCCCATGTTATTTCAACTTTATATAAATGACCTGACTCGTGCAATCGAATTATTAGATTGACGTATAAAGTAAACAATGTTACGTAGCGCCATCTTCTGGTTAAACTGTACTGTTCAGAGTGTTACTGGATGGAAGAGGTTGTTCATTTATTATTTTTAGACTGGTGTAGTTTGAGGGCAGCCCTGCTTACCTGGAGATTTATAAAACAAACATCTAAAGCCTGAGAACCCATTTATTCACTGGTTGGTTTGCTCATTCAATCCAGCTGGTTCAGTTCATAATACAGTGTTATATTATGTTTCTAGCACAGAAAGTCCTTTACTGGAGGATGACATTTCCTACTGGATGTCATGCTGTATATTGTAATTACTTAAGGTGATGGTTATTTGCTTCCCACATGAATAAACAGGAATGTATGAAAATAGAGTAACATTAGAGACTGCTGAACAACGGTTGCTAAAGGAAGACAGTATGTTATTATTCATGTATCATGCATTGATAACTTGTTTATTGCTGCATATGATGTCTTTGAACCTTGAACTTAGAGGCTGTACAGCTGCATGTCTGAGTGGTGCAAGGTAACTCAGCACATTTAATCAAAGTGCTTTTACTTTACTTGACTATTTCAATTGAATTTTTCTTCTACTCCACTACATTGCAGTGGGAAGTGCTGTACTTTTCAGATTAAAGGTCAAGTTGTGTCTCCTCGTGATGTTTCAGATCTCTGAGTTGCAGTTTCGCCTCTAAACTTTCTAAACATCGTCTCATTCAAATAAAGGTTCGAGGTTTGTTATTATTTGGTTTCATAATCATTCAGACACATCCTAAATGACTTCCTGTTTTAAACTACCTAAACCCACAGACACACGTCACAAAGACGCCTACACAGTCATGAGACAATTACAGTAACTGACTATTTCAATGTACTCAATGTACTCAAGGGAGTGAGTTATAAAAAT